CCTTGTGCAGCTTTTTTCTTTTCCTTCTGATGTCGTCCAGTTGGAAGGGATTCCTTCCGCTGGACTGTACACCGCTCGCCGGGAGGGGTTCCTCCCGGCGGTGTGACCTCGGCCTAGAGAGGCCGAGGGGGAAAAAAAAGAAAGAAAAAAAAAGAGAAAAAAAAAAGAAAAATGGGGCCGTCCCATAGGACCCATGCCTGGGTCCTATGGGATGGCCCAGGTCCTAAACGCATATAAATATGCGTTTAGGACCTAAGGTTGGGCGTGCACGCAGGCACGCCAACCTGCAGGGTATACCCCTGCAGGCGGATGGCTTGCCTGCCTGCACGCCATTCTGCAATGGCGTGCGCGTGGGGGGTTGGCTTGCGGTTATCAACCCCCTTGATAGCCACAATATCTCACATCCTGCTGTTGTCATCACCGATCGCGAACAAGCACTCATCAACTCCCTCTCGAAATCCTTCCCTCAGGCCCACCGACTGCTGTGTGTTTGGCACATTCAGAAGAATCTAGTCACCAAAGCAGCCAAATTGATTTCACAGGACGACCAACGGAAAGACATGCTTCAATACTGGATGAACATTGTCAAGATATCCACTCAGTCCGACTTTTATTCAAGTTTCGCCCGCTGGTCCAACAAATACGGCCCCGAATGGGAAAAATACGTCCGCACCACGTGGCTCCCTGTTGCTGAGCATTATGCCAATGCTTGGACTTGCTCTATTCCCCACTTCAACAACCGCACCACGTCCCGAATGGAATCTGCTCACGCATTTGTGAAGGCCCACCTCCTTGGCCCTAAGCAAACCTTCACCTCAGTAATCCAGCTCATCAGCAACGCAATCAAAAAACAATATCACGAAATCACCACGAAGCACGCCCAGCAAAAGATCACCACCCTCCGATACCTAGGGAACTTCTTCCGCCTCTGCCTTGGTAAGATCACAAACTATGCCATTCGACAGGCATACAACAATCTTGAGATGGCCAAGTCGGAGGTCCCACTTTCACGCTGCAATCAACGATATGTCGCACACATGGGGATTCCATGCAAACATCGGTTGTTATCCCTGTTCCAATCTGGCAAGCTTCTATCACCGGATGAGTTTCACGCTCAATGGCAAATGAATGTAAGTATCTTTCAGTTACCTGCCCAAATTTCACCAATCAAATACACATAATCTTACCCAATATAATGCCTTTGCCCCCATTTTCAGGCCATTCCCCGCCCTGCTGTACAAAGTGGAACCACGGACGTCAATCCATTGATTGAGCAGCTCACTAATCGGCTGCAATTGATGAACCCAGCGCAGCAGGCTATCCAACTGGCGGCAATCAACCAGATCATCGAAGGATCCGGCACCGTTGTTGACATCATGATGCCCACTGAGCCTCAAAAGACTCGAGGACGACCCAAAGGCGCGCCAAACAAACCACGGACCACTAAAAGGGATCCGTCAGCGTTTGAACATGTTGAAAAAAAGCGGAAGGCGGAAGAGAAACAAGCCACTGTTGCCAAGAAACAGAAGTTCAAAGACCTCCGAGCTGCAGAGAAGGCCATGCAAAAAGCCGAACAGAACGCTGACAACGATGAAGTCAAGAAAAAAACAGTTGCCACTGCCCTAAAAAGGAGGGTCCTCCCAGCCCGAAGCACCCGTGGAAAAGCCGGCCTGAAAGAAGTTGATTTGCCACAGAAGACGGACGAAACGGCACCAAAGGAGGATTTGTACCAGACAAACGGTGAGCCTGCCCCCAAGAAGAAGAGCCAACCAGTCAAAACAGCCAGCCTCCAACCACAACCACCTCAACCGCAACCGCCTCAAGATGATGAGCCTGAAGAGCAGAACAGCCGGATTGATCAACTCCCAGAAATCATCAAAAGCTCGGTCCAGAGAGTGGTAAGCCCTGCATCCGATGGCCACTGTGGATTCCGCGCGATTGCTTGGTGTTTGGGTTGTGGGCAGGGCGATTATATGCGGATCCGCCAGGAACTCATCAACGAAATCCAGAACCGGAGTGATTGGTATCTTGTCCAGGGCAGCTTTCATCGAATTGACGAGGTCTTGAAACGAATCAAGGTCCCGTCTCCAGCCCCATGTGGTCCAGAGAAATGGATGTCTATGCCATGCATGGGTGACGTAATGGCCAATGAATTCGAGACACCTGTTTTCTTTTTCTCCCCAATTTGGTCACAAACCCACTTCCCTTATTTCTGTCCCCCAAACAATAATAATCCCATATTCTTTGCCCTGCTTGGCAACCACTATCTCTGCTTGGAACTAACCGATCCCCATTTATTTCCAGCACCCAGAGTTATGAAGAATTGGAGGAACGCAGCCACCCAAGAGGCTTTGAAATGGGAGGAGAAATACGCAGAGTGTTTCCAGTTGACTGTAGGAAGGAAACTCTTGGTCGAAAAACCTGGAAATTACTGATCAAGTTGTTCCAATTATTCCCCTCCTTTCTGCTGTTCACTCAAATTTTCACCCTCCAATTTTCTCTGGTTTGGATAGAATAGTTTCCTCTTATTCAAAAAATATCTCAACTCATCTCCTCTTGAAAATCCACCTCCTTTTCTTGTGTCTGTTGAAATACTTTTAATGTGAATGATTTCTTGAATGATTTGATATTTTTCTCTAGTAGCATGTTAGTAAGCTTCCTTTTGCACTCATGTGGTGCAAAGAGGTCTTGTTGAGGTGTCTGATAGTCTGCTACCATGATGTATCACTACATGTCGAACCATGAGCACTACCACCCAACAACCCTGGCAGTCACAAGCGTCTGTAGCCTAGTTGGTAAAGGCAGCACTCTAGTATGTGTCTCAGCTTAGCTGAGGTCGTGAGTTCGACTCTCACCAGACACATCTTCATTTTGTCTGTCTCTACAGGTTATGAGCCCAGAGCCTACCTAAGCGGAACCTGCTTACAACAGAGACCAGATGAAGTTGTGAATGCTTACTTGTATAGAGATGTCGCTCGATACCCGGGTACCTGTAGCGGGTGCGGGTACCTGCCTCAAAAATCCAATATTTTTGACACCTGCACCCGCACCCGCACCTGCTAGGGCAGCCAGGGCGGGTACCCGGGTACCTGCGCCAGGTACCTGCAGGTACCTGGCACATTTTTGCAGGCAAATATACCCAGAAATCTCACCCTTGAATTTCTGCATGACTTGGTAAATATAAGATTGATATTCACTAGATATATGAGTAAGAATAAAATAAAAATAAAGAAATAGAGAAAAACAAATTATTCCATCACCAATTTGAATTTTATCTTCTCTCTGATCTATCTTTAGCTTTACCCTTTTGCTTGGCCTCATTTGCCTTATTCAATGTCCATTGATGAAGACTGTACACCGTCTTTATGACTGGAGGAATTCCTCCAGTCATCAAGACTGTACACCATCTCAAAGGCCGGAGGGAACCCTCCAGCCTCAACAAAGCAACCAAATTAGTTCAGCAACACATGTAAGACACCAGCTGGTGTCCTACATGGGTTGCTGACACCATTGTGCAGCCCAACACACCCAAAAAAGGGAGTTTTGGACCACCAATGATAAATGAAATTCTTCAGGGGAAGCATTCCCAGGGCGGGTGTAAGGCGGGTACCCGGGTACCTGCCTTTTTTTACCGCGAATGTTGACACCCGCACCTGCACCCGGTACCTGTTTCCGGGTACCTGCTTTGGAAAACAGGTACCTGCAAACGGGTACCGGGTACCTGCAAACAGGTACCTGCTGACATCTCTATACTTGTAAGACCAAAACTTCCCCTGTAAGACTACCTAAGGTCATGGGTTCAATTCCCACTCTGATCATGATTTTTTGGGTCTCATTCCCACTTCCACATCATGTAGCAAGGGGGGGTGTTGAGGTGTCTGATAGTCTGCTACCATGATGTATCACTACATGTCGAACCATGAGCACTACCACCCAACAACCCTGGCAGTCACAAGCGTCTGTAGCCTAGTTGGTAAAGGCAGCACTCTAGTATGTGTCTCAGCTTAGCTGAGGTCGTGAGTTCGACTCTCACCAGACACATCTTCATTTTGTCTGTCTCTACAGGTCTTGTTTGGTAGTCGGATGTGTTCACACTAGCCTCTCAAGAAACAAAATCAAAAGCAATAATATTTTCTTCAATATTGTGGTTTATTCATTTCTTGTCATCCAACCATGTGTTGACCACTTGTGGTAGTCAATTTAACACTAGTGTACAACAAGCCTACATCAAAGGAAGTATCAAGTTTGGTTTTCTTCTATCTTGAAGATTGACTTCCTCATAGCCCCTCGTGGTTTAATAAAAGCCCAGCCAGCCCTTGTCCCTATTTATTTTTCTCTCATCAGGGGTTTTAATTTCATCACGTCACATCCTTTGTGTTTAATTTCATCACGTCTCATCCTTTTAATTTCATTGTGTCTCATCCTTGTTGGATCAATGGTTCTCTGTGAGATCTCCTACTAACCAGTCTACTGGTCATTTGTTTTTCCTTTTCCTTTCATTTGTTTTCATCCATCCTGTGCCTTTGATGTACTTTTTTGGGAAATTTTTCCCCCCCATCTGGCCCCTGGGCTTTACCCTTGAGTTTTCATTTTCCCCTTTTTTCTTTTCCTACTTTTTGGCTTTTGCTTTTCTGTTTTGTTTATGTTCCTTTGATGTGCATTTTGGGTGCTTTTTTCATCCATTTTTCCCCTTTCTGTCATTTTGATTTTTCTTTTATGTATTTTTCTTTTTTATTTATTTTTATTTTCCATTTTATTTATTTATGCCCTATTGGGAGCACCAACTCCCTGCTGCGCAGCCGGTTTTGGAGGGTCAACTCCCTGCCGGCTGCGCGGTTTTGTGCCTGTGTCTGGGGGCGCTGTTGGAGTGCCGACTCCCGTCCGCAGTCGTTTTTGGAGTGCCGACTCCCAAACGACTGCGCAGGGGTCTTGCTAGGCTGGAGTCGAAATTGGGGCTCCGACTCCCACACACCCGCGGGGTTTTGGAGGTTCGACTCCCAAAACCCCCAAGTTTTTTTTATTTTTTGAATATTTTTATTGTATAGTCGACTCCCAAAAAAACCGACGGTTTTAGAGGATTGACTCCCAAACTTTCGGGTGAAAAAAAATAGGGGATTTGGACGTCCCAGGACGGTCCGCAGACGGTCCTCAGGACGTCCTCGACGTTTGGGAGTCGATCCTCCAATTTTTGGGAGTCGATTACCTAAGACCCTAAAATTAATAGAGGAATTCATTTCTGAAGACAGAATGCAATAAAAGATTAAGATGAAAAACGTTACAGGTAGGGACTTGAATGAAAAAGGAGGACTTAAGCAGTCTTTTGGACAGCTTCGGCTGGCTCTCAGGATGACAGTTATCGGTATGCTGAATATGTA